GGTGGGTTCCGCCGGCCCGGCTCATTGCGAGGCGTGCCCGGGGCGGGCGCCCTGATTTGCCTACGGGAGTGAAGAGAAGCGCCTGAATTTCGTGCATTGTAAACAAATTCTTTCTAAGGTTCTTTTGATCAATCTGGATCGTGTATATTGTATTTAAGTTCTAAACAGACTCTTCTCACGGGCCTCTTTGACCCAGGTACTAACTAACCCTTACCACACTGTTCAGAAGCAGGACAGTTAGGTTCTACTTAAGGCTTCAGACGTCAGTGAGGCAGGATACTAAACCAGATTATGTGTTGTGATTACTGTGATAATGAGCTGCTTATGTAGACATTATGTACTGAGTGGACGCCGAAAGCTGCCAACCCCAAAAGTTTCTTTGGAGAACAAGTGATAAAAAAGGATGATGCGACCTCCGGATAAGTATACGACCGCCAGATTGACTGTGATATCTGTGAAGGGACACGAGATGGCAGCAAAGACCATGGAATAATTATTTCCTGGGAAACGATGTGTTTTTGTTAATAATTTCAGGGAGAGAGTATGGATATATAATGCCACCGTAAATCTAAACCCTTGAAAGTTCCTGGGTTGGGGGAGCACTTATAGGGTAGAATCCCCAATGCAACCCTGGCACTGCAGTAAAGAACACCTGCTTAGCAGTGAAACTCTTTGCTGTTAAGTTTCTTCATTCCATTTGGCAACCCAGATGGGACACTCTCTGTTTGGCTGCAGGCCCCGCTGAGAACAGGACTCCTTCTGGAATCCCAAGGATAACTCCTTCTGGAGGGAGAAAACGGGATTTTCTCCTCTCCTCAGTCGGATCACTGTGGGAACAGACAAGGACCATTTGAGAAAGGTATTCTTTACATTTGGTTTTGTGGGTCAGGTCCATTTTTGGCTGCCTGTAAATCAGAAAGCGAAAGCATGCACAGGATAGCATATGCAGGGTTGCTAGCACCATACTGGTATACATTTGGGTATAGTTTGTACACATTTGGGGGGGTTGAGGCCTCATTCGGTTTGGTTCTGCGTTTAGGGTCCTCATGTGGTGTTAGAGTTCTTATCGGCTCATGATTATCAGGCTTTTTGATACTATATATTTGTTTTATTGGAATATGATTATTGTTTTGACATGTGAATTCTGGGATTAATTTTATCTATGGTTGCTGTAATTATACTGAATGGGATATCACTCAGAAGCTAAGCCCAGCCTTCCCCAGGCACCTCTACCTTAGGAGCAGCGGTTCCAACTAGAACTCTAGGAAATCAGTTCCAGAATGAAGAACAAAATGATACAACTAGATTTATTGGCATGGGAGAACCCTGCAGAATTCCAGAGAGAGAGGAACTGTAAGATGAGTCTTCTGCTGACCACTTGTGCAACACAGAAGGATAGTATCATTAGTGGGCAAACCAGCAACCAAAGTCCTCCCTCCACTCTTAAATCATATACCAGAGATCCAAGGTGGCCCAACACTGGAGGAAGGAATAAGTTAATGCACTCACTCACAGCACATTGTGTGAAGAAAGGGATCAAGCTGACTCCAGAACCATGGCGTGGTAGATGGAACCAGCCAGACAAGGAGACCAGTTACGTAGTAGTTCCCCAGAGAGAGACTCATCATCTTGCTCCACCATCCTGAGAGCTCCACTTGCTATGAAGAGTCAGGGAGCCCTTCCAAAAACCAGAATCCACAGACAACACACCCACTGTATAAACAAACCTCAGAACTCCACTGCAAGCAGAGTCAGCTCCTATAACAGTGGCATCTTGCCCACCTCCAAGTTAATGTGGAAGGTGGGGGCATGTGGTAGTGATCTCCTAATCAGTTCCCACCCAAGGCTGGCCAGACCTTGGGTGAAAACCAGTCAGGAGGGTCTTTCTTGCCTGGTCATGGACATCATCCATATGCCAACCCTTGTTCGGGGCTGGGGGTTTAACCCCAGCACTTCAGATGAGAAATGAGATTGAAAGGATCTCAGGTGAAAACTGATGTCTGAAAGAGGGGAATTGCTGGAAGGGTGACAAAGAGACGTTTTGCAAGATAAGGTCTAAAGGGGGGGATAATGGGACATGAAGCTTCAAAAGAAGCAGAGTCTTTTTTTTTTCTCCATAAGGACTGCTCAGATGGTCCCCTTCCCATAGCTAATTGCAATATGAATGTCCCACCCCTCGGCCAGCCCCAAGGCATAGTCAAGAGGAGAAGGGTTCTCAAAGGTTCCAGATTTGACAGCCAGGGTGGTGGTTTGGCACCTGGGTGTGTGGCATCATACCTGGGGAAGTGCTCTCTGGTCCCAAAAAGATGGTAGGAGCCTCGAGATCAAGGAATACTGAATTTCTGCCTTCCTGTATGAAGTGGGGAGGGACCAAAGGACTGACCAATCCTTTTCATTCCTGGAATTTCTTCTTTGTTGCTGTTTTGTATTTCAGCCCTGGGTCCTGTGTCTGAGGGGTGAGAGTTTGGGAGCGATTGCCTGGCACCCCTTTTCTGCACAAAACTGGAACACAAGCAAGTATTTTGCCTCTGGGTGTTGATGGGATTTTGAAGAGTGGATAAAGAACCCAGGATTTGGGACAACAGCACAGCCTGGGGGGGAGGTGTGGGGAAGCTTGCTGACAGGAAATTTCTGGTGTCAGGGGTGTCAGGAGAGGGTGTTGGGTGTCCAGAGGTGCTGGGTGGATGTCACAGCCAGGTCAGGATCTCTGCCTTGGAGCTTCCAGGCTCAGGTGCTGCTGCCTCCATTGCTGGCTGTAGCCATGTGGCTGGCTGACTCCCTCCCCGTGCCACCATCTTTCTGTCCAGCCGCACTCACTCGGTCCCTCTGGAGCATTCCCATGGCCCTGCTGGGTGCCCAGGGCTGATTCACTCACTGCCAGTGTGGCCACCCAGAAGCCCCTGGACAAGACCCCACGGGAGAAGAACCCCCCAGAGAACAATTTGGAGGATCTGAAGCACAGCTCAGAGGAAGGGGAGGAGGAGGAGGAGAAGGACAAGATTGAGGAGGATGAGGAAGATGAAGCTGTGGTGGCCACCACTTTGCCATGTGAGTGTCAGCAGTAGTGCCCTGTGTGTGGGCAGAGCTTCCTGCCCAGCCCAGAGACAGTGAAGCAACAGTGCCCCAATCCTGGCACCCGGCCCTTCGGCTGCAAGAGCTTCCATCGGAGCATGATGCTCATCTCCCACTGGCACGTCCACACCAGCAAGAAGCCTGCTGACTGCAGCAAGAGCTTCTGCCAGGGCTCCCAATCCCTCCATCACCGCCGCAGCCACCCGGGGAGAGGCCGCACGTCTGCAGGTGCTGCCGCCAGAGCTTCCAGCAGAACTCGACACTCGTCGCCCACTGGCACGGCCACGCCGGCGAGAAGCCCTTTGCCTGCGCCGGCTGTGGTGAGAGCTTCAGCCAGAGCTCCAGCTCCAACACACACTGCTGCATCCACACTGTCAAGAAGCCCTTTGTCTGTGACATCTGCTGCAAGACCTTCTCCAAGAGGTCCACCCTCCACCAACACATGTGGGCCTACACTGTTGAAAAGCCCTTTGCCTTTACTGACTGTGGGAAGAGTTTCGCTAGCGAGTCCCACCCCACCCAGCATCGCTGCACCCACACTGGCAGGAAGCCCTTCATTTGCAACAGCTGCAGCAAGAGCTTCTCCAGCAAGTCCAGCCTTATCCGGCACCGCTGCATCCACACCGGGGAGAGATCATGTATCTGTGACAACTGCAGCAAGGGCTTCAGCCACAGCTCCACCTTCACCCATCACCACCCCGCCCACACCAGAAATAAGCCATATGTCTGTGACAACTGCAGCAAGAGCTTCACCAAGAAGTCCACCCTCACCCAGAACATGCGGACCCACAACGGTGAGAAGCCTTTCTCCTGCAGGATCTGCAGCAAGAGCTTCTGCCAGAGCTCCAACCACAAAAAGAACATCCACACCCACACCAGGGACCAGCCTGTGGTGAGGAGGATGCAAATACACCAACCTCAGCGCTCTCGGGGTGAATGTGACACCCCTGGGAGGACCCTTCCAGCCAGCTGAACCAAAATCACCTCTTTTCCACTCAGTTTTCTCAGAGGCTGGGGCCTCCAGCAGTGGCAAACATCTATTAGTGATATTGACAATAATTAGTGATCAGTGGGCACAGGCAGTGCCACCACTGAAGTTAGGCTGAGATTTGCCAGGATACAGCTGTATTTTCCCCAACACTTTGGATTTCCTGGAGGTAAAAAACTCCTGTCTATTCCCTAATTATAATGAGAAAAACTCAAATTTAATAAAATATTGTGGTTTTCTTTTTTGTTTTGATATTTCTTTACAAAATGAACAAATATTTGCAGCATTTCTTCCCTGGGCTCAGGTCTAGAGCTGTGTGCCTAGTTCAGGGGGGGGTGTCTCAGTGAGGGTCTTGGGGAGTCTGACGTGTCTGGGGGGATCTTGGGATCATCTTGATGGTCTCAGGGGGTTCTCATGGAGCCTTGGAATGTCTCAAGGGCTCAGGAGGGCTGCTCCAGGGAGTCAGTGGAACTAAGAGTGGGTAATGGCTGAAGGACCTCACGTTGGACTGTATTTCAGCCAGCCCTGGGGATTTTGGTGCTTTTGGGTTGTCTCAGCAAAGCATCCCCAACCTCATGGAGGTGGGAGTGTCTGGAGGTGGGGTGTCCTGCCCTGGCAACACTCCCAGTTCAGTTGCATCTCTCCCAGCAGGTGAAGCTGGGTACTCTGTTGCTGGCTGGTATGAAACCACAACAGTGAGGAAGCAGAAAAAGCTTTCTGTCATCACGTCGCAGCAGTTCAAGGTCAATGAGAAAGTTCTTGGGGAGGACAGGAACTGTCCTGGCATTTACTGGCCAGCCAAGGCAAACAGGGGGCCAACAGTCTGGAAGATCCTGGGACAACTTGTTAACACAGCTGCCAAGTAGGCCAAGAATGGTAAGAGCTGCCAGGTAGGGAAAATGCCCCCTCCAAGCACAAGCATGATCTCCTCAAATCCCCTTGAGAAGGAGCCTTTCTCTCATGAGGCTGCTGGTCTGAAACTGAGCAAGTTGCAGGACAAAAAGGCAGCAGCAGCCAGGAGGTGGAAGCTGGGGAAGCTGCAAAGGAGGACTTGAGAAAACTTGCCCCAGCACAGGCTCCTGTAGTCTTGCTACTTGCTGAGGAGAGGAAGGGCAGCAAGATGAGCTGATCCTACTTCCTAAAGAGTCATAGACAGGGGTGATGTTGGCCTTCTGCTGAACTCAGTGAAAAGAAGAGAAGGCTGAAGGATTTCATGGCTTCTTTGATCTGTCTTATCCCAGGCTTTGATAGCTGGCAGCAGGAGCATGGAGGAAAACACCCAGCCATGGATGGGGATGGAGTCAGAAGTTGCTTGAGCAAACTCAGCCTTTCACGGCCCCCAGAAGCAGAGGGGAATCACCCAAGGATGGAGAGGGAGCAAGAGAATTTCATAGAGAGGCTCCCTCTGTATCCTCTTGGCAATCCCTCTGTATCCTTGTGGTGGTGATCAGGGCCAGTCCTTGAGGACTGGCCAGAAAAGCTTCCAGCTCTTTTCCAACCCAGCCCAGATGATTTCCAGGAGAACCAAAGGCTGTTCAAGCTCCTCTTGGAGAGGACTGTGCCCCTGAGCATGTCTTCCTAGATGACATTTCTGGGGAGAGGAAGGGGAGAGTGGCTGGGAAAGGCCAGGATGGGTTTCTCCAGAATGGATCATGACAGAACAACCCCATTGCTTTCTAGGATGAAAAGGATGGATTTCTGGCCCAGGGCCAAGCGGTGGGTGTTAATTTCTTTTATTACTGTATTCAGGAATTGCATCTGGTGGAATTGTGGCTGGATGAAGAGGTGGACAGGAACTGGGATTGATGGTCAGACTTGGAGGATGTGGAAAATTGACAGGCTTGCTGTGTTGAAGTCCAGAGTGACCAGGAGTCAGCAGAGAACAGCTGAGTCTGGGCTTGAATGAGAATGTCAAGTTAAGGAACGTGCTGATCTTCTACTAGGATCAAGCAAGAGCAGGAGCTGAGCAACTTGCTAATCTGGCCCAAGGACGGGACAGATGTGGGGCTTTGTGCTGGAACACTTGGACAAGGCCAGGCACAACGGAGTGATGTCTGGGTTGGAGCAAAGGCCTCACAGCCAATCTGTGCTTCAGTGAAGGCGGAAGAACAACTGCACCTCTGTCCCAAATGGCAGCCTCGCCCCACTCCATACGGCACTGCAGAAAGGTTGAGCTCCAGAACACCTGCAATGCATGGACAACATCGTTGTGTGGGGTAACAGGTTAGAAGAACCCCTTACGAAAGGTAAGAAAATAATTTAAATTCTTTTAGACAACGGTTTTGCCATAAGAAGAGGCAAGGTCAAGGGACCTGCACTTTTACAATTTTGAAGAATTGAGATCCAGCTTTGGCGAATTAAATGGCAAGATGGGTGTTGCCAGCTCCCAATGGCTGTGGTTAACAAAGTAACAGCTATTGTCCCCACCAACTAACAAAAAGGAAACACAAGCCTTCCCAGGCACTGTGGGTTTCTGGAGAATGCATATTCCTGGTTACAGTCAGGCTGTAAAACCTCTCTCTGAAGTGACTCAAAAGAAAAACAATTTTAACTGGGGTCCTGAACAAAAACAAGCCTTTGAGCAGATCAGACGAGAGACTTGACACACAGTAGCCCTTGGGCCAGTCCGAACAGGACAGGACATTAAAACCATGTTCTGTAACGCAGCCAGGAAGAATGGTCCTACCTGGTCCCTCTGGCAGAAAGCACCAGGGGAGACTTGAGGTTGTCCCCTAGTGTTTTGTAGTTGAGGATGCAGAGGCTCAGAGGCCCACTATATATCAACTGAAACAGAACTTTTGGCAGCATATGAAGGAGCTGAGCTGTTTCGGAACCGATTGGTACCAAAGCACGGCTCCTCCTGGCACTAGGCTGGATGTTCAAGGGGAAGTTCCCTTCCACTCATCATGCCACTGATGCCACCTGGAGGAAGAATCTCCATTTAGATGACAAAATGTTATGCTGTTTACTAGTGGATCTTGCCATCTTTAGGGAATCATCGGATGTGGAAAGCTGTTGGGTGGGGTCCCACATGACAAGTCCCAGAAGCAGCTGAAGGAGAGGGTGAATCAAGTCAGTTGACAGAGGTAAGAGCTGTCCAGCTGGCCTTTGCTGAGCACGAGAAGTGACCAGTGCTTAGTCTCTATACTGACTTATAGGTGGCAGCAAATGCCTCGTGGGGGTGGTTGGAACAGTGGAAATGGAGTAACTGGCAACAGAGAGGTAAACCTATTTGGGCTGCCACACAGTGGCAAGACATCGTTGCTCAGCTGGAGAAACTAGCTGTAAGAGTATATCACGTAGATGCTCATGTACCTAAAGGTCGGGCCACTGAGAAGTTCAAAACCACCAGCAAGTGGATTGGGCTGCTAAGTGTTCCAGACAGGCTTAGGCTGGAAACATAAGGGTGAACTAATTTTAGCTTGGTGAGCCCATGACAATTCAGGACATCACGGAAGAGATGCAACATACAGATTGGCTCATGACCGAGGGGTGGATTTAACCATGGATGTTGTTGCACAGGTCCAACAAGCTAAAGGGTTCAAACCCTTGCAGTATGGGGAGGCCTGGCAGGTGGATTGTATCACACTCCCTGAAACCCGCCAGGGTAAGCACTACATGCTTGCAATGGTAGAACCAACCACTGGATGGCTGGAAACCTATTCAGTGCCCCACACCACTCCCCAGAACATCATCCTAGGCCTTGAAAAACAGATCTTGTGGTAACACAGTACTCCAGAAAGAACCAAGTCAGACAATGGGACTCATTTCAGAACAAATCTTATAGACAAGTGGGACAAAGAGCATGGCATTGGGTGGGTGTGTCACATCATCCACCATGATTCAGCCTCAGGGAAAACTAAGCAGTACAATGGACAGTTAAAAAACACTGTGAAAGCAATAGGGGGTGGAACCTTTAAAAACTGGTCGAGCATTTAGCTCAGTAGAGTATGGCAGTGAAGAAAGAGAAGTTCAGGGAAGATCAAGTGCTTGTGGTCCCTGGCAGGGCTGCTGTGCTGGAACTCTTTTCCTCTCCACCTCTGCACACACGCCCTGCCCGTGCAGCTCCAAAGAAGGTCTTACAGGAAGGATCTCAGACAAACAAGTCACAGCAGAGTCCTTTATTTTGTTCAAACACAAAAGGAGCACAACCCTTCATTTCTACAGTCTCTGTGCTATACCAGACAGGGAAATACTGAACTAGAAATGGTGTTAAAAAAGGCATTTCTCTGGGAACAACATTCTCACGAGTATAACACCACCACCAGCCACCAAAAATACACAAGACAAGCTGGGCCTGTGATAAAGGACATTAAAACTTGTTCTGCAGAAGAAGAACAGTTTATTGCTCCTGGAAAATGTCCAGTGATTAGTTTCTTCAGGGCATCCTTGTACTGCTGATTCCTCATGCTGTAGATGAGGGGGTTCACTGCTGGAGGCACCACCAAGTACAGAACCAAGACCACCAGCTCCAGCAATGGGGAGTAGACAGAGGGGGGCTTCAGGTAAGCAAACATACCAGTCCTGATTACAACAGAGACCACGGCCAGGTGCAGGAGGCAGGTGGAAAAGGCTTTGTGCCATCCTTGCTCCGAGGACATCCTCAGTATGGCCCTGAAGATCACCACATAGGACATCACAATGAAAACAAACCAGCCCCATGCTGAAGAGGCACTAACCAACAGGAACCCAAGTTCCCTGAGGTAAGAGTGTGAACAGGAGAGCTTGGGGATCTGGGGGATTTCACAGAACTGGTCCAGGGCATTGTGCTAGCAGAGGGGCAGTGAAAATGTATTGGCCATGTGCAGCACAGCACTGAGAAAGCCACTGGCCCAGGCAACTGCTGCCATGTGGATACAAGCTCTGCTGCCCAGGAGGGTCCCATAGTGCAGGGGCTTGCAGATGGCAACATAGCGGTCATAGGACATGATGATGAGGAAACACAACTCTGCATCAATCAAGAACGCTACAAAGAAGACCTGTGCAGCACATCCTGCATAGGAGATGTCCCTGGTGCCCCACAGGGAACAGTGATAGAGGTGGAGGCCAGGTCAAGAACAGAGAAGTTGAGGAGGAAGAAGTACACGGGGGTATGGAGGTGGTGGTCCCAGACTGTGGTGGTGATGATGAGGCTGTTGCCCAGGAGGGCAGCCAGGTAGATGCCCAGGAAGAGCCAGAAGTGCAAGAGCAGCAGCTCCTGCATGTCTGTGGATGCCATGAGGAGGAACTGAGTGATGAAGCTGCCATTGGACATTTACTGTTTCTGGGCATGGGGACCTATTCAAAAAAAGAAAGGCCAGAGAAAAATCAGGACAGACTCCTCTGAGCAAAGCCACCCCATTTTTCACAGAGATTGCCCCTAGGGGAAAGGCATTCCCTATCTCTGGTGTGTGCTGGCTGAGGGTGCTGTGAGGAGCAGGAGCTCCAGCCTTGGGCTGCCATGGAGTCAGCTTTGCTCTGCAGCAGTGTGCACATGGGGCTCGACTGGCACAGCTCTGACATTCACTGGGGATGTCAGATGGACTCCACCTGGAAAAGTTCAATCTCTGCACTCATGACTCAGAAGAGCATGGGCTTCAGAATAGACTTTGCATGTCCTGATAATTATTTTGTTTGTTATTTTCCACCATGGCATCTGGGAGCTTTCTTTTCAGTAGAAATCCCCATTTTTATGACTGAAAACATGAAGGCTCCTGAGACAGGACAGGCAAAAAGTCTCAGCTCACTGCAGCTGAGTGTAGAGCCAGGAGAGATGCTGTGTCCATCAGTCTGTTCCCATCTGCCCTGTGCTGTCCCTTGGGTAGTTGAAGATGAGTTCACACCCAAATCACCCTTCAGAGCAACAACTCTCTGGATTAAACGAGAGCAGGGGAGCACTGCTTCAAAGGGCAGGTCTGGGAACATTTCTCTGTCCTGGCCCAGAGGGACACCTGGGACAGACAAAGCAGGACACAGCCCCTCCTGGAAAGAAGCAAAGGACTCTGGGAGCAGAGTGTTGACCCCAAAGGGAAGCCTCCACACTCACAGAGTCCATCAGGAGAGCTGAGCCTATCTGGGGGCAGCTTGCAAGTCTATCAGGAGAGGCAGAGAAGACCATCAGTGGCCCCAGGAATGAAATGTTCTCAGGAGAGTCAACTCACAGCCCAGCAGCCAACACCCAGAAGGCACCTAAAGTGTAGGGCCCAAAGAGAGCTGCCTGAACATGGCCTCCCCCAGGGCCTGTTTGCAGTCTCCCCCAAGCCCCAGCCTGTCTCTGCTGCCTGGAGGTGTCCTGCCCAAAACTTGCTCCTGTGGCCCAAGGTCTCCTACCTGCCAGGGTTCCCAGAGCCCATGCCACCAGCTGCTTGCTCAGCTCTGCCCTGCAGACACCTCCCAGCAGCAGGGCCCTGTGGAGGGGCACTTCTGGGTGAGCAGCTCTGATGTGAACCTCACACCAACCCTGAGGAGGCTGGAAAGATGCTTCAGGTGCTACCTGTGAACTGCAGGGGGTTAATTTCTGCTCCTCCCAGGCTTATGCTCCTCTAAGAGTAACATATTTGGAATTTCAGTGCCTCCCTCTGAACTGAGACATTAATTTCTATGCCTCATCTCCCACCAAGACAAACCAGAGCAGAAGACTAAAAGAACAGATTTTGTCACTTTCAGGTATACCCTGCCTTGATGTTCTTGAAAATTGTTCCAGGAATGTCCGGGGGTGAGCTGGAGGTGTGAGCAGCCCTGATGCAACAGCACACTCTGGAGAGCAGAAGGACCCTGCCCTGCTGGGGATTGCTCTTTCCACCCACAGCACCGTGGGGAGCTCCCCGGGCAGGCTGAGAGCTGACCCTGGCAGGCAGCAGAGTTGCTGCCAGCACAGCCCTGGTCACCTCTGCCAGCACACCCACCTTCACAGGCATTCAAAGCTGGAGCTTTCCTGGAAGGGCAGGCTACAGGCTAAAGCAAACGTGGCAGCTCCAAATTTCTGGGGCAATGCAGATAGTTTTAGGGGCTGCTGAGATCCAGCACAGACACTCAAGAGCTGGCAGCTTTCCTAGGGGAGCAGTGGGCAGGATGCTTTGCCTTCAGGAGCTGGGCTCAGCTGAGAGAGTAACATCATAGAATATTCCCATTTTCATAAAAATACCTTATAAAAGCTGGCTGTTATCTACCACTATTGGAGAGCTCTGGTGGTGTCAGTGAGTATCACTATTCACAGCTTCATTAATCAGTTATTGTGGTACAGTTCAGGCTACACTCCAGTGATTATTTCAGTGAGTACAGGAGACACTGAATCCTCTCTTACCCAATCACCTTTCCTACTTGTCCAATGAGCCCTTTATGGTTTTCCCAATTTTCTGTGCTAACACTGACTGTAGCATTAACACAGCAGGATGACATGACAACCAAAGGGCAATAAATACAAAACACTTAACCGTTTTATTCCTCTGACTTTTTCAGCTTTAACTTTGACTCCTTTTCTTGTGAGGAAGCTTTTGCTGTTTTGACTTTCTTTTCCGTTTCAGCAGTTTGGGTTTTTTGCTTTTGCCTTCTGGAACGTAACAGGTCTTCACGTCCGAGTTCAACCATTTTGTCTTCCCACGACTTCATTTCGTTTTCATACCGAACCTTATCATCTTCAGCAAGCTGCAGGTATGGCTGGTAGAAAATTAGGTATCAAAAGTTATGGAAGGGGGTTGTCGGGACAACTGCCAACTCACATCCTTACTGCAGCAAGTAAGGTGACTTGTACAAGACCTGTGATCCCAGGTGTTCACTTTCATCTCCAGAAAATTCAAAACCCATCAAACTTGCACAAAAATACCAAACCTCAGCATTAAATTAGAGTTATATCAACAGACAGTAATTTGTGAAGAGAAAGTTAAATCAATATTGCTACTAACAGCTAAGGGTTTTTATCTGAGGACTGTTTGAGAGACAGCTGGCTTATGTAAGCAACAGGAATAGATATTTCTGCACAGCTATTTCAAATTCTTTTCTTACAGAAAGAACATGTATCTAGTGCATGTTCTAAGTACACATGCAAAGCAACCAGGAAGGAGGAGGAAGGACAGTAAGGTATACTGTCCTTTTCAAATCTGGGTGTTTTGAAAATCTGGAGGTTTCAGTTACATTTCAGTATAGCAACCCTCTGCTACACTCATCTGCAGGTTCCTAGTTCAGTAAATCTGGCAAAAAATTTTCCCCAAAACAACCCAAGTTAACAAATTACTGTGTGCATATCACTTGTAGATTTCTGTTGCTCATGTCTGTCAAAAGGCTTTCTGTGAGCAGCAAATTACTATGCCAGCATTTAAAAATACTATATATTAGAAAAAAATTAATAAATCTTGTTGCAAATTATTCCACAATCCTCCCTAGATGCTGCTCAACATCCATTTCCATGCATCCAGAACTTGTGTCCTGTCCCCTTGACTCACATCTTCTCAACACTGAACACAATGGTCACCACTGGAATAAAAGTAACAACAGCCTTTTTCAAGATGCACGAATTACATCTCTGAGTATTTCCTCAGTATATTTTGAGCAACCAAGTTAAAGATTTTGCATTAATTTCTTCATTTTGACTCAAGTTAGTCACTTTCTGATTAGATCAGAGCCTGATCAAAGCCCAGGGACGTACCTGCTTTTGAGAACTGGACAGTTTTTGCCACGTATCAAATAACTGCTTCAGCTTTGCCTAAAGGATATAGAACATGGGACATGTGAGGGTTGTTTTAACAACAGGCTCACCACAGAGTGTTACAGATGAATGCCACACTAGTGAAAGCCAAGCATAAACCAACCTAAAACCCACCAGAACCATTTGAAAAACTAATGTATTTGTGCACCAGCACAAAAAGATGCAGAATTCTCTGTCCTTACAGAAAGGCCAAATGAAGCCTGCAATGCTGAAGTGAAGAAAAACCAAAAAAACAGCACAAATATTTTAAGTCTGTATACCCCCCCAGCAGTTTATACAGGACATGCCACCAGCAGTATAGCCGGAACACCACAGCCTAAAAAAAAATAACTTAAGCAAACTCTATATTCTGAGTAACTGAACAGTTTCTTTGAAAATAACAGAATCCAACACAGATTTTCTGAATACAATAGACCTATTTTAAAGAATATTCTTTCTTGGCTTACCACAGGCGAAATTCCCTCACTTTCTTGAAAGTTTTCTGACACAAAAATGTTAAAGCCACTACGAGGCCTTTTAGGTTTTCCAAGCACAGTCAATTCCTTTAAAAACAAGAAGAAAAGTTTTTCAATCTACCATGCATGCGTTTTTTCCAAAACTTTTATCATTTGTCTTCGTATTTTATACAAAAATCCGACTCAAATCCATCTTTTGGTGTTTTATTCTGTAAGCTAGACCGTATGTCAAGATGCTCTCGCCCCTTGTCAAGACTTGTACTAAACTAAATTAAGAGAAGCTAACAACTTGAATTTTCAGACATTAAAAAAAGCAGCTTAAACTGATTCTTTCTTCAGTACAGTCCTTCAGAAGCCAAAAGCTGTTACTAAATCCCACTCAGTAAGAAAGTCATGACAACACATTTTCTCTTCTCTTCACAAGGCTTTTGTTTCTTGTGTGAAATACTGTGAGCCTGCAGAGTGGGCGGCAGCTACCCAGCGTTGTGGGAGGGTAAGAAGGTGGAGCAGAACCAGCAGATTTCCAGGGAAACAGAACTAGGTTTCTCCCAGAGCGCTCTGCCTACAGGGATGATGGTGAGAGAGGGAACGTGCAGCACATTACAGATGCAAATACACCGTTGGTTTTCTCCTGACCTAAGACAGTCCCACTGCAGCCTGGGTGCTGCAAATCGACATCTGCTTGGGTGCTAGGTGTGCCAGTTATATTCCTTTTGGTACCATACTCCAAAAACCATCAACAGAATCATGTGGACCAAAACCTTCCTTTCAAACCAAATTGATTTTACTTTTTCTATGTCTCGCCAGATGTAGAATTTACAGAGATAAACAAAGAATAAGTAACTCCTTCAAACGATTTTGCCACTGGACAAACCATAACATTATACCTTTACAGATGGTTCTGTCTCTCAGGATTTATGTGTAAACCAGCAAAAAGGGAATAAGAAAGATAAACTGTATGAAGAAGTCAGCAAGGGCACTGGCAGACATGCCTCTGTGCAGCCCGAATTCAACATGTCAGTTGCTACAGAGATAGCAAAGTGGCAGAATCCAAAGGAAAGAAGGAAAAAAGGCTATTTCAAGCAGTTATTACCTTCTAGGGGCCACTGAAGTAATGCGTACAAGGCCTTTGTGAAAAGCTATTTCTGGATGTCTTCCCAACCAGCGAAAGTGTTACTGGCTCAAATGTCCTTTGTTACCTATTATTCCTCAGGCAGCTTTTGGAACAGGATGAAAAAAACAGAGAAGCTACCTGTGAGCACAAAGTTATGTGCGAGTTCTGGTCTTCGAGCACAGGAGAGTCACTTCTAATCCATGGAGTTTTGTTCTGGGTCATGGTTTGGTTGTTTTTTTTTCCTTCTGACACTCACTTTTGTATTTCTAAGCATGAGTCAACTCTGCTGTGTATGTTAAGACAAACAGACTTCAGGTTTCTTGAGAGAAAAGAAACTTGAACTTCAAAATACTTACTCGTTTTGCCCTGAATGATCTTCTTTTTGCCAGTCGTCTTTTCCTTTCTTCTTTCAGAATGGCAGCCTGGGCTGGAGTTAGCTGTGCTTTATATGCAGCCAACTGCTCCTTATATCTTTGCCAGTCTGTCTTTCTAGCTTCCTCATAAACCTACAACATAAACCACAGAATTCTAGCATGGTAGGGGTTGGAAGGGACCTCTGGAGACCATCTTGTCCAACCCCCCTGCTCCAGCAGGGTCACCCAGAGCAGACCCAGGATCACGTCCAGATGGGTTTGGAATCTCTCCAGAGGAGACTCCACAACCTCTCTGGGCAGCCTGCTCAAGGCTCTGGCACCCTCACAGCAAAGAATTTTTTCCTCCTGTTCAGAGGGAACCTCCTGGGGTGAAGTTTGTGCCCATTGCCCCTTGTCCTGTCACTTGGCACCACTGACAAGAATCTGGCCCCATCCTCTTGACCCCATACCTTTTAATAGTTATAAACTATCATCAACCTTATACTGATACTTTTAGTGCTCAAGAGCACTTGACCATTAAACAAGGTAACACTTTAAACCTACTAGTTAAATAAACCTACAGACTACCCTGGAACAGAACATTTTTAAAGCAAAGTAGCAACTTCAGATCTGTTTCATTGCTGAAAGGATTCATGAGAACTCAGATTCAAAACCTGGGCTCTTCCCATGAATTACTTCAGTTAGTCTGTTAACACTGGATGAACCTTCAAAGCAATAACAATCTTCCATACAAGGAGGAGAAGATGAAGCTTGGCTGAAACAGTGACTTTTAAGGTGCACACACCCTTGGCAGCACATGAGTGCTCCAGTCACTGAACATATTGCTATGCCAGCCAACACCAGGCACAGAAGCATCATAAAATCCTGGTACCAGGGCACCAAGAAGAGCTGAGCCAGGCTACTGAGCATCCAGGCTGACCTGAAAAATCACCATCCCGTTCTTCATTTCGGATCCAGAAACAAAAAAGTGTATTTTACTCAAAGGCACATAAAGCCAGAAGTCCAGAAGGAATGTAAGAGCACTTTGATTCTGCTGGACAAAGATACTAACTACTTCAGTTAGAAAAGTGCAATTAGCTCCTAACCGGATCTAACTGCTAACTGCAGTGAAGGAAGAACAATCATTACTTGGCTACAAATGGCACTTACAGTCAGCAATGAATGATTAGCAATTCATGGAGCTGTTTTACACTGTCCCTTGAAATTGCTACTCCTAAAGAGACTTCACTGCCTAGGACAAAAAGTTACCTAGATGAAACTTAGTTATCTGTAAATTTGGTCTCTGGTTACTATCTAATGGGCAGAAAAACAAAAAAAGTCAGTCCTTTCATCAAAAATAACTGAGGTTTCACCTAACTTAGGCATAAGCAACTTCACATTAGGTTATACATATAATGGACACACATATCAATTTAGCATTCAAAAGAAATGAGACACTGGTTCTCAGCCCTACACCCACACAGAGCAAGATCTGTCTCATGTATTTTTCTGGCAACAAATTCAGACCACCAAAACCAGGGTAATCTGTAGAAGTATCAGAGGACCTTCCGCTGAGTACTTCAGATCTCCCAGTTCTCTTCAGAATTGTTTATGCTTTGTTATGGTTATTTAAAAAGCAACAACAACACTGCACAAAAACCCCAGAGAGGTCACTAATCAAGTAAAACGATTACTAGTACTCTACAGAGGTCAGTGCACACTGGGCCAAGACACAAACTCACCTGCTTCTGTGATGCTGGTAACTCCTTCCAAGCATCTGCTATTTTTTTGACCAGATCCACGCTGTTAACTTCTGTACATTAAAATTGGAAAGAAAAAAAAATAAAGATCGACATTGTACCTTTAGTAAGTGTCTTGCCAGACCTGAATTTGTTAAAGGGGTAAAAAACCAAACAAATTAAAAACAGAGGGTTCTGGAAAGAGGATATAACTTGATTCTTCTTGAAAAACTCTTTCCAGGCTTTTCCTCTGTTTCACATGAAAAGAGAGAGATCTTCCTCTCTCTCACCTCAAGCACAAAGTTCAACCATCTCAACAGGGGAAAAGCAGAACCAAGCTCTTAGCAGTAACCTGACTTCCAGAATTCTGGAAAAACAAGATAGATGGGGAGTTTTTAGTCCAAGTATCCCAATCTTAAAACCTTTGCAAATATATTGCCAATGACAAAAAGAAAATGAACAATCAGCTTAGTTTTGAACTCTACCTCCACTGGACAAGAAAGCCCCAAAGTTCTCCATCTGCATGACAGCTACAGCATGTTGACTTGCAGATTACTCAAAATTTAGAAATGGGGAAAGCACCAGTGTGGAATGTCACTACAATAAGCTCTGCAAGTTCAGAGCCTCAGCCTTTCAACCTGCTGGAACTCTTGAGCTACTGAACAAAACCACGTACCAAGCAGTTGACCCTTGTTAAATTCACCCCATAACTTGCTCAATATAACCATAGTCCTTTAGGCTCTTTAAGATTCATTTCAACAGTATTTTCCAAATCAGTGCTTGCTGACAAAGTGACAGCATTGCCTATAAATGAGGTTTGGGGAATATATTAAATGTATTCCCAGAAAATCATTTTCCCCTCAATACACTTACGGTTGGACTTGGTGTTCTTAAAGGTCTTTTCCAACCAAAACAATTCTATGATTCTACAGTTCACTTTTTCTCCCATATATATGAAGACAATCAAGTACATGTAGTCTTTAAATTGCTGAGGACCAAAATAAAATCATAAACAGCTCACTGTATCAGCAACAGCATACTTCAAATACATCCAGATTTAAAAATAACTGAAACACACAAATCACTTCTAACATCTATTGCCCAGGTGAGATTTTTCCTCAGGTATTTTTAAAGTTACACACAAATGTCACTTTTTTAAGTAGGGAAGATTAAACTAACACATGTAGAGGCAGTGAGAAGGGCAATACTGAGTTTACCTTTGCTATACTACAGGGAGAATCATAGGATAAAATTGTAGAATTGTTTTGGTTGGAAGAGACCTCCAAAATTATCAAGTCCAACCATTAACCCAGCACTGCCAGACCACCACTAAACCATGTCCCTCAGCACCACATCTACATGGCTTTGGAACCCCTCCAAGGATCGAGACTCCACCACTGCCCTGTGCAGCCTGGGCCAGGCCTGGACAACCCTTTTGGGATGTCATTTTCCCTCACGTTCAACCTAAACCTCCCCTGACACAATTTGAAGCCATTTCCTGTTGTCTTGTCAACTGTTCCTTGGGAGAAGAGACTGACCCACACCCAGCTTCAGCCTCCTTTCAGGGAACTGTCGACAGTCTCCCCTGAGCCTTCTCTTCTGCAGGCTCAACACCCCCAGGTCCCTCAGCTGCTCCTCACCAGACTTATCCTCTAGACCCTTCCCCAGCTTTGTTGCCCTTCTCTGGACACCCTCCAGCCCCTCCATGTCCTTCTTGGAGTGACAAACCCAAAAGAGAATCCAGGACTTGAGGTGTGGATCACAAGGTGGGTTTCAATCTCCTGAAATCAGGGCAACGTACTATATAACATTTAATTTTCTAAATCAATACTTCGTTCCAGTTTTCTATTTAAATCTCCCATTCCAAAGCGACGACACTGCTGCACACATCCAGCAACCCCCTAACACGCCTGTCCGACGTGACGCCGCGTCCGCAGAAGCCAGGCCCCGGCGGCCG